GAGTATGAAGATTTCTGTCTTCTGGGTTGTTGCGCCGTGTAGTCTGGTCTATGTTAACCAACGTTTCAGAGGTCATACTGCCTCCGTCATCAGGGCGATGAGTATGAAGATTTCTGTCTTCTGGGTTGTTGCGCTGTGTAGTCTGGTCGATGTTTACCAACATTTCAGAGGTCATACCACCTCCGTCATCAGGGCGACAGAAATATTCATATTCACTGCTGTGAAAACCTCAAATCTTACACGTTATAAACCTAATCACAACCAGAAGTTCATTCTGAATGATACACCCAGTGATTTAACACTTAATAAATCTTTCTAAAATTCACTTCAACAACCTATTTTGTCACTTTATATGAAACATCAAAACTGAACGTCACCTGTGTCATAATTGTAGGATGACATCAACCACAAATGGCCGACACTGTAGTTGATATTCTAAATTAATTATAGATAATATCTCTCACTTAAAATTTACAGAATCCAGAAATGTTTCAGACAACTTAGCATTTTTTACATTTCGAGTTATATATTTTACTTTCCGACATAATCGGTCATTTGTGAGAAATGCCAATCTGGGTTTAAAACTGATAAAGGATACGGCTGCCAATCAAAAAAATCTAGGAGCAACTTTATTTTCTTATGTTCCCAAAACTGAAAATTACCCATGAGATAAACACATTTCACCAAGTGCCAAGGATCATCAGAAGTGCATTATGGTAGCTGAACAATGCCCCATAATTCAGTCTGGAGGACGTTACTTCAAAAAGGAATACGAATTTTACTGACAGATTATATACAGTGAATGCATTCCAAGTTTTGAAATTTTAAGGTTTGCACTCTTACTTACGAAATAAACCCAAACCAATCACAAAGTCACTTTTAAAAAAGAAAACAGTACAGACATTCTATTATTCTTACGCACATCTTTCGAGTTCAATGACAGATTCTGACGAAGCTTTAATTCATTTTAATACTCACATCACTCAAAAGCCTAAATACAGTTTGAAGAATATTTATATGAAATTTACAAATGTACGAGTGAAACAATACTAAAAGAAGAAGAATAATATATCAAATACAAATTGAAGGTGACTGCCTTCCGGGATATTAAACTACGTTATCTCATAAAAGTTAACTGATTTTTCAAAGGTGATTACTGCCTCAGAAGAGATTGAGAAAATATATATCTTCAACAGTATTTAAATAAAGTTCACTAACAGACTTAAGCCATCAGAAACAAGTTGAAGTATATTAACTGATACAACGGCATTGATTACATGTGCAAGTCGTGAGATTTCAAGTTCACTGATAGCGAATATGAAGATAACAGCCTTCCGGGATATTGCACCACGATCACCGAGATCACGGAGGCAGTACACATTTCCAAACCATTGTTCAGTTTCTATGAGACCACACGGCCCAACCACCATCCCAAAATGCTGCCGTCTTCAAGTTGTTCCAATGCGTAGGATCTGAGGATCTCATGGCAGTGAGTATGAAGATGGCGGTCTGTCTTCTGGGTTGTGGCACAATGTAGTCCGGCACAATTTTACTGATATTTCACAGGTAAAATTCTACCGGACAACATAAATTTTTGCTCCAGTATTATTGGAGAATTATAAAAAAACTAAAACTGAAACCAAGATCCTGCCCGAAACGAGATAAGCATTCCAATACAACTGAAGCATTCTACAGTGATGTATGAGGTGAGGCTTTTGCGGCGACTGAAGCTGATGAAAGATTCTCGGATGACAAGCCGCGTCAGGTGGCTGAACGGTGAACAGACCACATCTTCTGCCAGACTGTTCATGAAAATATATTTATTTTGTACAGTCTATACACAAACGTTTGAAGTTTATTGGTGTTGTAAAAATTATATAATATTAAAACATTTTGTTGTGTAAAATATTATATTAGCGCTCTTAATCGTAAATACGATTTTACATTATATTTTTTAGCGCTTTTATTAAAACGACATGTTTCGACGGGTAATACCGTCGGCTTCAGGTTTTTATCAATTTAAAATATTTTAAAAACTATTAGATATTTGATGAAATATATTATAATGATCCGTAGTTCTGTTTGTAGCTTTCCATTTTCATGGTAAGTTGCTTATTGTAGTCAGACGTTATATTTATCAAGAGATGTTGTGTAGAGTAACGTGCGTCTGACGGCTGGTGAAGAGAATCTGTGTAAAATCGTATTTACGATTAAGAGCGCTAATATAATATTTTAGACAACAAATGTTTTAATATTATATACTTTTTACAACACCAATAAACTTCAAACGTTTGTGTATAGACTGTACAAAATAAATATATTTAATCAAACACAAACATGACGCATATAAGATACAAAATGTTCATGAAAAGTTGGCCGAAGACATGGTTTATTCACCGTTCAGCCACCTGACGCAGCTTGTAGCCTGAGAATCTATCATCAATCTACAGTGATGATGAATGCTAGACACAAACTGTTGGGTAGTATCTGACAATAAAAAATAAACAATGAAATAAATGAAAGCTAAACTTGTCCTTTCGTTTAAGCACTGTATGAAGCAGTGGTGGTAAAACTCCACACAGCGTTAAGTTCAATGCTAGATGTAAGTACGAGGTGCGATCGGAAAGTTTTCAGACTGTGTCAATAGCGGGCGAACCGGATGTAGTATGAGCTTCTGCCGCTAGGGGGTGCGGCCTACATTCATAGTGAATCAGTGTGCCAGCCGGCATCATCGAATTAGCATTTGTTTCTTAGTTACGGGCGTTTTGGTAGTGCATTACACCGACCCTCCTGCGATTTTAATGAACAAAGAGTGTGCATCAAATTTTGCCAAAGACTCGCCAAAACCGCTACGGAAACCTATGAAATGCTAAAGCAAGCATTTGGGGAGTCCGCAAACTTTTGTGTGGCATTCACGTTTTAAAAATGGCCGAACCCCTGTCGATGATGACGAGCGTTCTGGACGACCATCTTCGAGCACAACGCCCGAAAAAGTTACGAAGATAGGACCAGAAGCAGAATCGCCTTCTCGTTTGTCAGGAGCTCAAAGATCTTGCCGGATCGCCAGATTTAGCTCCGTGTGACTTCTTCCTCTTCCCAAAGATGAAAATTCAGCTAAAGGGAAGGAGATTTGAGACGACAGAAGAGATTCAGGCAGAATCGCAGATGGTGCTTGACAGGCTGACAAAGAAAGATTTCCAGGGATGCTTCCAGGCTTGGCAGCGGCGCTGGGATTGTTGTGTTCACTCCCAGGGGAACTACTTCGAGGGTGATGGATGAATTTAATACCTGAGATAAGTGTACGGGTTTTTATAGGCGCAGTCTTGAAACTTTCCAATCGCACCTCGTATGTGGCAAACTTAATGCTACAACTGCTTTAACCCTGGAGATACAGACCGTAGCACCTACTGAATCACCTGGATGAAGTGGCGAAAAGGAAAACTCCTGAGCTAAAATGCTGCGAAAGTTATGTACAGCTGCTCAAACCCACCTCGGGAGTGCAAGGGGGGTTAAAATGGGAAGAAAACAGCGACAAATGCGTTGCCAGAGAGAGGAGTTGCAATGTTCGTTTAGCTAACCTGCCATGTAGGGGATCTCGATGAGCATGGCCGACACCAGGTACACACACTCCAGCAGTTCCAGGTTGATGTGCATATGGAAGGGCATTTGCCGCTGCTTCTCAATTTTCTCTTGCTCCTTGCTTCGCTCATGTTGTCTCTGCAATAAAGTCATCACATGTTACATTCTGATGGCTTGTTTGTGTAATGTTGTTAATTACTATTAACAGTATTACTGATACACAAACCGACATTTATTTTAAGGCACGTTTTAATAATATCCTCCCTTCTCCATCTTTGTTCCCAAGCAATTGCTTTTGATAACAATGCCGGCAGTGGTCGTAGTACTGACAGTAACATGTTTTTATCCCATGGCGCTACAACCGAGAAGACTCTCGGTTGTAGCGTCATGCAGTCTGGTAGAAGATTACTGACATTTCACAGATGCTTGCTGCCTCCATTATCAGGGCGATAAGTACTGACGTTACTCAGACTACATGGCAAAACAACCCAGACGATAGCCATCTTCATATCTGCTGCTGTAAGAATCTGAAATCTCACGTTTTTCTTCTTCATCATCATAAAGCTGTCAATGAGTTAGGCCATTTCTTAGCATACGTCTTTTCAGTTTCATATGATAACGAGCAATGAAGGTAACCAATTGAAGTTATGTTAATTTAATTTGTTATTTGAATGACATGGTTTATGTGTGATTTGAGGATCTCAGACCAGTGATGATAACAATGCTGTTCTTCTGGGTTCTGACACTTGTACGTAGATACCAAGATTTCAGAGAAACATACAGAGACGATGTACGTCCACAATGCTCGTATCTATCTATAAGTCTACATGGCTTCACAACCCACATCATCATCATCATTGACATGGTTTCCGATTTGTCTGTTTTTCTTAAAGATAAATAAATGAAAGTGTTTGGTTATAAAAATGACAGACCTACTATATTACAAATACCAGCATAATAACAATGTTGTCAATTCATTTCCAGATGTTTAAAAGTGTCATTTAATGGAAAGCCAATGTCGGTCTTCATTCAAAGATATACGATTTTGAGTTCCTTTAAGATGATAATTAAAAATACGGTTAAGCTGTAATTTAAGGCACCCTCATAAGACGAAAATATGAATAACTCAAACAATATTAACTAACTAACTAGATGGCTTACCGAACCTGAATTAACCAAACCCCTCCACCGGTCCCTGTCCTGGGCCAAAAAAATTCATTCTCCTTCAACTCCTATCTCCCATAGATCCCGCCTGAGATTATCCTCCCATCTACGTCTTGGTCTCCCCAGCGGTTCTTCCCCTCAGGCTTCCCAACCCAAAAATTATTACTGATAAAAATACAGCTTGTGTTACTTTGTGTGGTCTATGTACCCTGCAGCTTAACACGTAACGAGGAAACCAGTCTTCTTAAGGAAGCAAGCATATGAACAACTTGCTCAGATAGAAGCTGCTGGTTTTTACCAAACACCGAAGGAGATGAGGCCAGTATATTGCGTTGCGAAAAAAAATTCTTTCATTTTCTTGCGAACAATAATAGATTCAACAGAGTAAGGAAAGAAGCCACAGATACAAGAGGAACAATATCATCAAGGGAGAAAAGAGACAAATGGAGAACCTGGTGGGAGATTATTAACTCCTCACCGCCGAGAGGCGTAAAATTACGCCCGGCCTTTAAATGCTGGGGATTGCAGCTGGGCGTAATATTACACCCGGCTTTAAGCCTAATTTCTTCAGCTCATAACTTTGTAACGATTAATGCCAGCGCAATGAGGTTTGTAGTACTCTGTTGTGGAAAGTTTTCTGTGTGTGAAGATCCGGCAACC